AAAATAATTTGACATATGCATGGAAAAGTTCCACCTAAATGTCCCACATAGTACAAGTATTTTTGGTTGTACTGCACAACCTTCAACACACAGGAACCTTCTCCAGCCAAATTCAAAACAACACAAACACTTCAGTAATTCTGCAAAAGACTCTAGGAATCCAGAAGATGAAATGGATCCTAACTTTACAGATCAAGTGAGCTAGATAAAAAGAAAGAATTTAAAACATTACAAAATCCCATAACAACAAGAAAACATCTCTATTAAAACAGAAGAATAAAATACAGCAAAAAAATCCCTCCTAAGCACAACTGGTTGATTGACCAGTATATACAAAATAAAAAACATTTAAAAACTACACATGGTAGCTAATTAATTCTATGTTTTCCTGTAATCCCTTTCATCTTTTTTAATCCTGTTGGTAAAGTAGATTAAATGAGAACAGTATTTCAAACAGGAAAAAAAAACACAAAATAGATTTCATTGTTGTGGCATGTTAAAATTGAAATCTTTGCTGTAAAGACTCGAAAGCCAACTAACCATTCAAGTGAAAGTCATTTATTAACAATAAATCTATACGTAAATCAGACTGCCTTCAAACACCAGCAGTGAGTCACACCTTAGATCAAAATAAAAGGGCATATGTATAATTACATTGTGCACAAGTTCTTAATGACATTCAAAACTTCCATATTGAAAGGAGTATGCATGTCAAAAAAACTAAGCAATAAAAGCTTTAGCACATAGGCTAAATTAAAATTTGCACAATGCAAACACCTTGCCCTTCCTTATATTTAAAACTGTAACAAAAACCACATGTATAAGTATATAATAATCCTTATAATAGGACAACTGCCTAAGTGAGCAGGACACATGCTTTTTCTGCATGGACAAAAGTATGATACCAAACTTTAATATTGTATGATTTTCAAGTCTTGTTCAAAAAACACACTTATTCTAGTTTCTCCTTCAAAAATGATCACTTAATACAGTACTTCTCATTTACCTATTTTCCCATCAATAAGAGCAGATGAGGAAGCACTGCCCACACTACTTAAAGACCACAAAGGCATCAGTGATATAAAGTACAGCCAGTCAAGGTGCTTGGATAAGATTTTTCTGAATATTCTGCACATTATAATACTTTGGATAGCCAAATTAAATATGAGCATTAAAACTGACAGGATTCAAAATAGACACTTAAAAAATGAAGACAAAAAAATGCTCGATGAGCTACCAACACTTGACATAAAAAACAATGCAGGACGGACAATCTTGCCTTTACCTTTATCCTTTCCTGCAGTTTATGTCTCAAACTTTTCAAAACCTGTACCTGCAGAGGACAGATTTTCGCTCGTAACAGCACGGTTTACTATAAGACCCATTTTATCTCCAAAACAGGTTCTGTTTTGTGAAGCAAATGGAGTGATGCTTTGTGAGGGGAGGAAAAAAAAAAAATTACATGGAATGGCATTTGCCTCATACGGCTCAAAAGCAGGATTGGTGGTAAAATATATAACTTCTGTATATAAATTTTATAGTCCTGATTCTAAGATAGAAAAAAAATATTGATGGCAAAGCATTTAGGCCATAGTTGTGTTCCTCAAAGGTACTATCAATCTTATGTAGTGCTGCAGATACTGTTAGAGTGTTACTTATTATATTTTACATACATACATATACATACCCAAATACATATATGTAAAAATCTACACAAATATATGTGTGTGTGTGTGTGTATGTATGTACAAAACCTTCTGTGAGCTGTGCAAAGAAAGCAGTCAGTAACATTAAAAGGCTGTCATCCCTAGGGGGTGAACGGGACTTTACTAAAGCCATTCCCAAATACTTGCTGAAAGCAGAAGACTGAAGGATTTTTTTGGATTCGAATTCAGCTTCTGGAAACCTTAATGATCTAGTGAGCACCAGGTCTCTCTATTTCCACCTCAAGCCTATCTTTTTTTTGGCTTATCTTTCAGTCGCTTCCTAATTATATCTCTAAATCTTACCCTGTCCTAATTTACCTTTCCACCTTGCTTAGCCAACCCTGCATTCCCGCTTTGTCTTACCTTGGCTCCTTGCTTGATCTTAAGGTTACCACAAACCTTCAGTTCCAGTCTGTTCCTTCCCTTCTGTCTTATTTTCTGCTTGCACTTTTATTCCTCCCCACAATTCTGTCTATCCAAAAGCATTATATTCCTGATAATCTAGATCTGGTATTATCTGTGTTTTATTCAAACTTCCAATTACTTCATTCTGCTGGGAAACAGCAGGGGGAGCATCAAGAATAGGAGAGAAATTCTATTTGCCAGTGCCTGACCTCACACAACAGTTCAAAATAGTCACAGTTTCAAAGCTCAGGGCTGAGCAGCAGTACAGAGTAGTCAGAAAATTCTTAATAGTATTCCTAACAATTCCTGAGTATTTACATACATGTCATTTTTCCAAACCACCCTTTGCAAAGGATACATCCATGACATCACGACCCTACTCTGCTCAAGTTCTCAGTCTCAGGATGGAAAGCTTGAAAATATCAGACTATATGAAATTATTTACATGTTTTGTCTTTTAAATATGGGTAAATGGGTACGTTTTCTGGCAGCTTTCTTTTCTGAACAACCATTACTGCCAAAATTTCACTTTTTAGTACCGCCAACATTATCGGAAAGTTAATGTGGAAACACCAAAAATATCAGCTTGTTATAGCTTGGCGATTAGAAGCAGTTTCCATTGAGGAACATCATGTTCTATGTCCTATGAAACATTTTATGTCATTGATAGCATTTATGAGGAACAGAAATGAGGACTAAATGCTTTGCCTTGCCAAAGCCATATATATATATATGTTTCTGTTTTAGAATGCAGGTTAATCAAGATATATACCAGCGAAAAGATTCAGATCAAATCTTTAATTTTTGCAGTCATAAAAACTTCTGAAGAGCAGGTGTTAATTTCCACTGGGCAAATGCAATTTTCTCACCAAACCAATGACTTGATCCTTCCTACAACTCCTGATAGTTTACAGATATGCCTGACATGGTGTAACCCATTACTGGTCATCTATATGTTATTACAGTCTAATAAAGAATACACTTTTCATGCTTGTAGATGAGTTGGAAAGCAGGGCTTTTTTAAAAGAAAAAATGAAAAGACAGTATACTGTAGCAGCACTACTGCACCTTTTGACTGCATTTTTTAGATTAAGGGTTAATTTAAGGATTAAGGATTTATTAATTTTCTCAACTATATTCTGCACAATTTGATTTTGTTTGTGAATTATATTTTATTGAAAAATTAACAATAATATGCTTGCTGAACATTTTTTTTCTTTTTGGATACTGGATAAAATTAAATTTTTACATGTCCTATGAGATATTTTTCTTTTTTAGTCTTTTTCAAAAAATGAAGTTCATTATCTCCAAGAAAGAGAACTTACCAGCCACTTATGAATTTTATATTTCAGAGTTTCAGATATTGTCAAGATAAACTAATCTTTGCTGCAAGCAAACAAACCAAATGTACTCGAAGTCACACTTTTTGTGCTAATAGTAACTATGGTACATTTGACAGGAGTTATCCCACAAAAGGACAGATTATCATGGTAGCAAGGCAAAGAAGGGGTGACTTTATAACATCTCTAGTGTGTGGATGAACAGGAAAACTTATTAAGCTGACACTTGTTGGCAAACAGTATGCTAGGTAATTCTGAAGTTCACCAGGTTCACTTTGAATTTTGTCAAAAAAGATGCAGAGAAGTATGTAAAACCAACAATAAAATGGAGAACAAGCAACGTAAGGCATGTCCCTAAGAGAAATTTAGCTGCCCTTGAAATGAAAAGATACTACAAAAGAATCCTGTAGAGATTGCGAGCCTCGTAAGAGCAGCCCTGTGTATTAAATCAAGAACTGAACATGACACAACAACTTTTTTTCTCTGTCCTTTTGTTAGCTGGCAGGAATATAATCAAGCCAAATGTCAACATATTACAAATATAGCAAGAAATTATGTAAAATTATATATAATATTTATATGAATTACAATAGATTATACAGAGACTATGTTAAGAGCATATATTCCAATCACAAAAGTAGGAGCGAAAGACAGGAGAGAGAGTTTTCTCGAACATAATAAATCCTAAGGACCCAAGAGTAAGCATTGGAGCTCTTGATTCAAATCACAAATTTGTGTTTCTTGAGACAGTTTCTAACTAATTTTAAAGTACTGCATAATTTCTACTAACTTTGATAATACACAGTTCTATGAAGTTACCAACAGACCTAGAAAGTACAAAGTGTCATGTCAAACACTGATTTGTTGAAATGAATATAAAACCACTTTCAAAATTCCAAGGGCCATATTAAAAATATAAGTGATTTAGCAGTATTAGTTTTAGGTATGATGAATTACATGTTCAAGAGACCTTTAAAAGTTAAGAATGTGCACAGTATTAATCTTTTGAAAAATCAGTCTTGTTTATATTAAGCACCTTTAAAATGGAGGCTCTTACAGCAACTAGATAATGACTAAACATTCTGCATACTTTATAATTACCCTTTCTTTGATGGTTTAACATTAGTTGCTGAACTACTGTTATAATGCATATTTTCTCATAATTTTACCTTTTCAGAACTGTAATTACATCTATTACAAAAGTGGCCAGATTCTTTGGAAGAAAAAAATCGAAACAATCTCAATGAATTTCACAAGAAAACAGCAAAGATGTCTTTCATAATTCTTCCCATTATATATAAGCAACGAAGCAAAATAATCACGAAAAACAAGCATTAAAGAGATTATCAATGATAAAAGCTGCTATAATCATCTGGGGTATTGGAAAAATGATTTAGGAATTAAGTAAAATCACTGAGAAAGAATTTATAATAAGAACTGTCAAAAGTTAAAAACAGAGACTAGAAAAAAGTTTTTAATTGTACAGTATATTTTAACTCCTATCAATCACCACTAAAATAGTTTCAGAGTTTAATAAGCAGATGTTTACCTGCTGGAACAAGACAATCTTTCCAATCAAAATATCCTGCATAAATGCCGGGTTCTAATGACCCGACTATAGGATCTGCTTTGGCTTCAATGTACATTTCAAAAAGTCTTTGGTCCAGTTCTTTCAAGGATTCCATGCTAACCTAAAAGAAAATCCAAAGAAAGAACAGAATATATAGTCATTAATTATATGAATTACATCATACACTCAAATACAGCTTGCTTTCTTCGATTTTCAGAAAACAACAACAGTTACTTAAAAATTCATGATTAGCATATATAAAAATGTAGGAATTTACATATTATCACTCCATGACAACCAGTCCAAAATTCTTTTTTTGTCTGTGGTCAGCTACAGGAATTTTCTGGAAAGGTGCAAGCAATAAGAGAGCAGGCATATACTTCTAAAGCCAGTGCTTTAAATATGATTATGCCCATAATGATTTTGCCATGAAACACAATGGTTTACTGATAACATAATGGTCATACAAGATTTAATGGTAAATAATTATAATCCACCAAAACTAATAATACAATTGATCATTTTCTGCTTTATTCTTGAAAATACAGAGATTTATTAAATTGCTGCTGTTTCCTGAAACTGTCAAAGTGAATTTCCCCACATTCCCCTAAGGCCTCTCTGTACAACAGAAGCAAAATCTACAGGGCACAAATGGCTGCAGTATTTTTCTGTCTATTTAACAGATCTCAACATGATTTGTACGTACTTCACAAAACTTGAGCACCCTGAAAACCAGAGGAAATGTGAACATTTTTATGATTGTATCTTACCTTCAAATTTTACACTGCTTTATTTTATTACATATGTGTTGCTAACCTTTGTTGTTATAGCTTCTAAAGCAGTTTCAGGACACAACGCACACCACAAAATGTGCAAGTAAAAAGTATCTTACTATTGCTTTGAATTTGAAATGCAAATTAAATATACTGCAAATGCCAAGTAATTTGTGGTAGAATATATTTATGTTTATGAGTAAGAGCCTACGAGATTGCCAAGTAAAGTTTTCAAACTGTTGTTCATTTTTTCTCAACCACTAGGAAGTAAGGAGATATCTAAGGTTGTAATATTTCAAGAAGGAATAGTGGCTTAAACAGGAGGAAAAAGGCAGTCTTCTAGACCAGTTGTGAAGTTCAGAACAAGGAAAGAAGAAAAGAATACCAATTTCTTATCATTGCTTTCTTTGTGAAAAAGACATAAGGTTTAGTTCTACATGCCACAGAGGAAGAGATAAATCTTATTCAATACTTATCGTTCTCTTTTGGCATACCTATATTGCTCACTGAAGAAAAACCTGCAATCCTTGGGTAAAAAATCAACAGGAAGGCATTCTGGAAAGAAAATGTGAGTTCCAAGGAAAGTGAAGACATTATTGTAGAAAGATCAAAGAAAATGTGGTGGAGAGTAGAAACAAGAAACACTAAAAGTTCCCTGATTTTCTGCTTAAAAAACCTTCTTTGATTTGTCAAAGATGCATCCATATCTCAAAGACAGGATGATTTTCAAGAGGCACTGAGAATTTGTCTTTTTCTCCTTCCCCCTTCACCTCACAAAATGCCAACATCACATTTGAAAATAAAGGATACAACCAAGAATGTAAAAAATCTTGTGAAACCCTCATTTCTTCTTATACAGAATTACAGAAAAGTAACATGGGTGGATTTCGAGAAATCAAATTCATTTTCTTAGCATTAGGTGAGATAACTAGGCTTAGGCCAATTCCTTTTTAAGGTTGGAGCATGTAGGCAATAATTGAAAGGAGGTTCCATTGGGAATTCCTTGCACACATACACTTGTTTGAGGAATACCTATGAAAACACAGCTCCAACTGGCCTGAACAAAAGTGTTTTAATATTAATCAATTCTCCCTTCCATTTTTGTAGACATTCAATGCAAAAGATTATCTATATAGTTAGTACAGTTGTTTTATATGCTAGTCTTTTAACTGTTTTGAGTTCTGCATACAATTAGTCCACAAAAAAATAAAAAAAATAAAACAGCATGGTAGAAATTAAGTATAATTATTAATCCTAATATAATTAAGAAGTGTTGTAATTTGGTGATTTTTATATTCTAAAATATTTGGACATGTTAAGAAAAAAAAAGGTACTAACAAATATTTACAATAAAAGATACATAAGATACAAGAAAATATACATTTTCTTTATTTCAAGAATATTTAGAAAATAATTCTCCACTAACAAATGCAACCTGGAAAAAAAAAGATATTTTTGATCAACATATATAACAAAGTTGCACGTTAAAATTCAATGTATAAATCTAATGAATAAAAATTATAGTTTTAGATCAGTCTTTTTAGATAAAAGCAATTTTTAAAATTTTTTTCTTCACTAAAAAATGCCTATTCTTTATTGGAAAAAAACCATTATTTGATAAATGACTAACCAAATTAAGAAACTTACAGAAATTTGTGTGACAGGAGAAACAATGAAACGATTGCTTTTGTCTTCGGAGGCGCTTCTATTTTGCTTCCTAAGCCCTACATTTATCTCTGTGATTTCTAGCCTCCCTTAAAATGAGCAAAGGATTGAAAACTGGCCATCCTCAGACGACTGTCTAGCTATCCAGTTCCTCCCAGCTGGAATCACTGATAGGTACCAATAGACAGTACTGGATCAGGCACAGTTTTCTAAGGGTTAAAATAGATTTGAAGTAGCCACAAAGTACTATGGAACTTCAACATTTGAGTTTTATCATTTCTAAACCTACCGGACTTTTAAAGGCAATATGTTGAGTGCTTTATATGTAATGGATAGCTTGCTTGCTTATAGAGCCAACATTCGCTTTTATAGTCCATGTACTATCATTACCTAACCCGACTCAGCTCTTCCCTGCACAGCAGCAAAGAATGCCGATACCAGGATAATTCTGGCTGCTGTACTAAAGTGCAAATTATATCAACTTCACTTGCATGCTATTCAAAACTACTTCAGCCACAGGAATTCAAGCAGTATTGATGCAGAATGATCCTAAGGATGTACTATAAAGTAGAAACATCAAATTTGGAGCGAAATATTTATTCTGCCCCGGAGGAGTTAACATTTTACTTGTAAACAACAAATGTTTCTGAAAATAAACTAACTTTTGATCCTAAGGATTAAGTCACAACATTTCTCATAAAAAATGATTAATCTTTACAAAAAGGAAGGAAAATGAGACAGCTACTGCCGCCCACTTTGACATTTTCATCTAAAAAAAAAAAAAAAAAAAACTGGTGTATGAACAAGAGCTATCAGTAATACAGATTGCCAGATGAAGTAATTTATCGAGTATATTTTTTAGATAATGATCTTTTATTCTTTGCATTAAGAAAACACAGTGACATTAAACCGCTTTACTTAGAAATCTGATAAGCTTTGCTAGTGAGCACACAAATCCCGGATAGGAGGTCACATTTTCTGCACAAGCTGTTTAGGCCATGCAGGAGCTCACCCAGCTGTATCATCACTATTGCTGTGTCCTTCAACTGATGGTTGGAATCCCACTCATTTGTAGAGGGCTTACTCAAGAGTCATTCTGGCTGTTTGAACACTTGCACTTAATTCCACAGAAAGTAAAACAAATACAAACAGTTTCGTTCAAGAAATGATACTTTATTTCAGTGTTCTCACTTACTTGAGTTATTTTTTCAACTCCTTGAAATCCATGTTTCTCAAAATGTTCAGCTATATTTAGGAATGTATGACGTTCCAGATAGCGACAATTGCTGAGTGCAATTAAAAGCCTTTGCTCCTAAAAGTATGTTTTAAAACAAGAAAAAGTGTAATGATTACAGCAAAATATCAGAACAGCCAATACCAAAAATACGCCCATTTTATTGAGAGGGTGGCAGGTGAGGGACAGGGGGCAGCTGTATGATAAATATGCTTATAAATAAACTAGAGTTGACAAATATTTCTGCCAAGAAAATTCTAAGAATTGAGCAAACATCAGCTATAATGATCTGTGTTTTTTTTTCTTATGAGATGTGGAGTATTCACTGGAATGTCTGTGACTAATATAGAACCATGGTTAAGAAACCATGTCTTAACCTGTCTACAAAAATAAGGTTTGGACAGTTTTCCAGGAAGATCTTTCTGACTTCTGTTTCTAGAAATATGCTAAAAATTATGACCATCATATAACGAAACCAAATGCTGTCTTCGCTTTCTTATGAAACTGGCTAAAACAACGGAAGCAAAACAGGTATGTCACAGCACATTTTGGAGTAGAGATTCCAGAACTGCCTTTCCCCGAGCTTGATGCAACAAGGTGCAGTTTCCAAGCTGGAGACAAACAAACAAATAAACGACAGAACTACCCAAACTACAATCTTATTTTTAATAATGACTTTGTGTTATGAATGAACCACTTAGATTGCTCTTCCCTCTCCTTCCTCTACTGGGGAAACCTTTTTTTTTTTTTTTTTTCTCCCCTCTAATGGCAGTTCAGAATTGACTATAACAAATACATTGAAAACAGAATTATTTGGCAATGAAATAATCATAATCATTGTGGAGATCTGATTAGGAATAACATTGTTTTCATGCAGAAAAGTGTCTTTGAATAACTTTGTCTTCCCGCAATATAATTGGATGAGTAGTTTAAAGTTATGCAGTTGCCTATTATTTTAAATTATTATGAACTGGTATACAGAGTACTTAAGAAAAAAGCTTTTTAAAAGTGCAGTGAAAAATCTTACATGTAATTTACAAGTTTGCAGAGTATTAAGTGCTCTGCCATTTACAGGAGAAAATTATTATGACAATGTGGAAACTAAATATTGTGTAACTGTCTGATTATTTTTAATTAAAAAAGTTGTACCTGTATTGGTGATGGAGAAAGGTGGTAATGATCATAAAAATTACTTTGTGAAGAACTGAAATCAAAGTTCATGTGTTGCAAGAATAAAATGATATAAAGCACAAACTGTTATAATCTGGAACTCAGACAGCTGGTCTAATTTTGCAATCTGTGATTATCTAGTGCAGCAGAAACCCTAACTGCTTTTGTAAATGCGGGGAAACTGGGTTTCTGGCAAGATTTAAAATCCATATAAAGTAACCACAAAAGAAGTTCTTACTAGGTTTCTTGCAGAGAATAAGTGATTTTTCTTCCATCAGTTGTTGGGTTGGAGTTTATCAATCAAAGTGCTAAGAATACCAGGAATCTTTTTTTTTTTTTTTATTTCCTAAAAATTACTTTAAATATGCAGATAATTTCCATCAGCAAAGTGAGTTTTGAGAGAAGACTACATTACACTGAATATCTTCATTCTCATGTATTTTTAAAAATAAATAATAATCAGTCCAGTTAAAACTTAAGGGATGCATGAGAAGTCGAATTCTCAAATGTTTGAAAATCAGTGCAATTTTCCTGAGCTCAGTCGTGCTGTTTCAGTTTCTGAGAGAGACTGGTTTCAAAAAAGGTTTTCATTAGTTATCATAAGATAGATATCATAAAAACAATGCTTTTTAAATAGTCTTATTTTCAGCCTTGGTTTTTCATATTTGCTCAATGGATCTCGGAAATACCTCTGGAACCCGCAACTGATTTCTTAATCGAGTATTTGATCTTTTTGGTTTACATTTTTTAAAACAAGGATCACATTCCTGGAACTTTGAGAAGTTTCACATGGGCTTTTAAAAACAGAAGCCAAACTTACTGAAGAAAGGCTTGAGTCTTCATGGATGCTTCCAAACAAATCTGGAGATGAAACATCAACTGAAAGACTAGGAACATTGTTTTAAAAATCAGTAGTATAGTAATTTTGTTTATATAATATATAGTAGAATCAAACAACAGCTGCAACTGAAACAAGATTCCAGTCTTCTAACTCTTTTACTCCAGGTAACAAAGTAGCAATTTGCTTATTTTTTTCACAGCTCTCCAGAAAGCCATCCGGTGCTTTGCGCACAGACAATTACACTTTAAGTGCAGACCTTCCTTTCTCAAAATATTTTCAACCTATCTAATTTCTTTGGTTTGCTGCAGATTCTGATCCATCTTATGCATCCAAGTAGAAAATAAAAGTGGCCTTAGGGCACAGTTAATATGCCTTATTTTGCCAAAGCAACATAGTTAAACTTCCAAGATTTTACCAGAACTACAGATCGAACCAGTCAAAACAAAAAGGGAGTAAAGCAGAAACGGCTCTCCTCTGAACAGACATTGCTTAGTGACAAGGAAAAGTCATTCCATGTAGGCGAATGCCAAAACCTTCATCTAAAGAATACTACAACTCCCATCACTGAGCACAACGTAATAATATATACTGTATTTCATTATTTTGCACAATATTTATTACACGATGTCACTCATTTATTTTGGCACAAAAGCATCAACTCATAGTTCAAAGAATCACTAGCCAGAAGCAAAAGTATTCATAAGAAACATTTAATATAAAAGGAAAAAACAGCACCACAAAAACAAGAACAAAAAAAAAAAAAGAGAGAGAGAGAGACATTGACACCCACAATTTCAAAATACTGCCATTGTCTCACATTTATTTTACTTACTGTGCTGTATCAATATCACCATCAGGTTTTGTGCTCAGTTGTTCCAAACAGTCTATAAAAACCTAAGAAACAATAAAACAAGTCCTAAATTTTCTGCAAGACCTCTCGACAAAAATCTCAAGTTCACTTTTATTATAGTCAACAGACGCAGAACGATCATCATCTTTCATTCTTAGAGCAATGAAAATTGGTAGAGAATATATTGGTAGAGTTTTTTGAGAAGCTCTATGTTTCATCACAGTTCTAAAGAAACTCTAATGTAGAGAATACATTTACATTATGTCTTTGAAAGCATATTTTAAATACTAAATGCATTTGTTTTGCTAGTCTCCATGTGTATGGTGCAAAAATCATCATACAGTACCAAATGTTTTTGGTATTATCTTTCATTGTGCTAAGTGACCTCCATCACACAGGGCTAAAATTATGTTGTGATCATATGCTGATTTGCAAATAACTGATTATTAATAAATTTCAAGTGATTAATCAAAACAGAGAGCCAAGCAAACATAGAAGCATTACTAAAACCCATTTAATGTTTTGAAACATGAGTTTTTATTTCAATTTTTAAACAAATATCAGTTTCTAATACAAAAATTAAAAGCCAGATGAAAATTGTCATCCTGCCCTTCACTACAGTAGATCAATGTTACTTTACATCAGTCCAGCACATGTCCCTAAATCACGGTGATTCCGGATCAAATTCTTTAACATGTGATTTACCCCCCTCTGACAACCTGGTGTCAACAGATTTAGTCAGTAGGTATGCATGTTTTCACAGTTAAATGTTCCTCAGTATCCAAGGGCGTACTGGAGGAATAGGGCACTGTGACCACCTACAGCTGCCCTTTGGGAGGTAGGCAGGCAGGGTGTGAAACACACGTTTTTTGCTGCTTGTTTGTGTTCACAATTCCATACTTCGAAATGCTCAAGTTACCTGCATGATCCCAATGCTGAGCTGACACACATCCTCCTGTGTTTTCTGTTGCTGGAAAACCTGAAGATGCAAGTATATTATTTCAGAGGAACAGCTTCACAGCTTGAGGTCATAAAATGCTGATTGGAAAAGAGCCCCACTGCAAGATAATGGAATTATAGCAAAAGCTCCCAGAGTGTTCAAAGATATCTGCAGACTGACAATAAGGATTCACTATGAAGTGCACACAGCACATTCTTTTGAAAAAATATACTGATCAAGAAACTGTATAAGCTAGTCATAAGAAGTAAAAATAAGGAAGGAACAATACTCATACAGAGGGGCCCAAGAGAGTTTGGAAAAATGTTCAGCTTCCTTCCATCATGAATCCTGATAGAAAAGGTCAATATCACAGTCAGCATCTCAAGGTACTAAGAGGAGAGAGGCTACCAAAACTACTGATTTAGAATAAAGTTTACGGAAGTAAAAATGTTCTACAAGCAGTCTGGATGTAACAGTTAAGACTGGCTCCTGAGAACAGTAACATCTAGCGCTATCAAAAAATTATATTAGCAGCATTTTCCTACAAGAAGAGTTGCCTCATACACACGACTCCCTCCCAAATGATACACAAGCATAATTCTGGTAGCTAGCAGTACAGAAAAGAGAACACAGAAAGGAACTCTGTATCATTCTGTGAAAGTTCTTGTTCTGAAACCTAGTAATGATTTACAAAGAAACAAAGAAAATAAAAGTATAACCCAATACTTACACTAGCTTCTCCAGGCTTGCAGTCCAGCACAGTTTTAAGAGATTGTAAGGAATAGACGATGCACTGTTCAAACTGAGATGGCTGAAAGAAAACAACTTTTTAGCTCCTAGATGGACACAGTATGCAAAACGTATGCTATAAAGCAAACATATAAAAATTCCTATTGCACACAGTGAGATATTTATTTTCAATATCTCAAATAATGAAAAATCACAGGCTTTATATACTACAAAAGAAGATCCCTCTGCAATGATGCATTCTCATATTTAAGTATGAAAGTATTACAATAGACCAATGCACATTTTTCTCTGAGAGATTTCTCCACTGAACAGACTCTTCTAAAAGTGCCTCTTCTATAATTTCACACTGGATATCTGAAAATTCTGCATTTTATTTCAGCATGAGGCTTTTAAGAAGAGCAAAAAGAAATTGCTCTCATGCAGGAAAAGAAAGCACTGTTCTGGGGGGCTTTATTTTATCTTTAAGGTATAAACCTAAGGTACCAATGTCTTGATGCAGGCACCAATTTCACTACAAAAGTGCAAAAGAGTTCACAGCATTAGCCTTATTAGTCATTTTTTCCTTGCCTTCCTCTCTTCCCTGTTAAGTCAATACTTTATTCTGAGACTGTCTGTTGGTATTAGGCAGGAAGCTGTTGAACAGGGCAACGTGAAATGCAGAGGTGTCACTGTTCCAGGAAAAAGGCACATCATTCTACTGGATTTGGGTCAGATGGAGGGACGAAAGGTTCCCAGTCATTCTAGATGTCAACCTGGTTCACATCCAGACGACAGTTTTGGGCATGTTGTTTGAACGTCATCCACTTGAGGCTAAGAAGAAACTTAGACTTCTGTAAATGCCAGGATGGAGTTGGTGCACAAGCCTGATACCTGCAGGACCACCTGAAAATCTTGAATAAAACTCCCTATGACAGTCTCTATATACTACTTTTAGGACTGGCTTAAATCAAGAAATAAACAACAGTAAGTGCTGCTCCTTTTATTTTTGCTTTCATATAATAAAACACACTTCAGGAGAAGGAAGCAGTTCAGATGCATCAGATCTTTGATATTAGAAATTACAGAAAAAAATTATTCCGTGTCTTAGTGTATCAATTACCTGCAATACAAAGGCTAAGTATGTTAGCAGACAATATTTTCTGAACATCTTAAAATACAGTTTCTGTTCCAAAATGCCTCCAAAGGGACTCCCTCATCCTTGTTCATATTAGATTTTTTTTCTATAATATCACTACAATCAACTCTTCTCTATTAGGCCACAATAATCCTGCGACTACAAAACTTACTACAAAACTTAACCAACTGCCAGCGTGTAAAATTTGGCAGCCCTTGGTGATGACAACACAATGCTCCAAAGGAGTTATCTACTAAAACACTGTCCACAAGGAATACATGGGTGTTTTCTAAATATTCACGAGGTGGTTAAGCACCTTTCTTCAAAGATAGGTTTGGGTGCATCAAAAGGATAAAGAGACAGCAGTTTTCTGGGCAGACCTCCCCCCCGCTTTCATTTTGACAAAGAATGAAGTGAAAAACAGAAAGGGTAAGGGGCTTGCCCAAGTCACTGGTAACTGAGACTAATACTGCAAGTTACAAATCTGATTATAATATTCTAATTACCCAGGGACAGTCCTTCTTGCAACATGCATACTGCGACTGCTTCCTGCCCTTCTACTCAGCTTCAAAAATATATTTATAGTGGCAAATAAGAAAAACTAAACAGAAAAAAAAGGAAAGGTTTGTGAAGCATTCTCTAAGAAACTATACACAAAGCTGAGCTCCCTCCCACAGGCCCTCTCTGCTTTCGCAGATTATTTTTTAGTCACACCTACTTGATGCTTGTGTTTTAGCCATTACTCATTACTGTTTATTTCCAGAAAGCATCTCACTAATTTATGTGAATTTGGTTTCAAGTCATTTGTTGTTTGTGTGTAAGAAAGCTCCTAAATTAGTTGCTTTTCAGTTCAATTTCTCATTATAACAGATAAGTGACCTATTTATTCAGCTACAGACCAATTCCATGGTAGTGTGCCTACTAAGTTAGGAAGCCTTTAGATGTTAACTGAACTTGTGACCTTAAAAACAAATTGTTTACTTCAGTAAACCATCCCTAAAATAAGATGCTTAACCATGAAAACTACTGCTGATTATCTCAACAAAATCTTATAAAGGTTAGCAATAATTATTCTGCAACATTTAAATAATCACACTAAGGCAGAAAGCCTTGGTGCATATCTTTATGTCCATATTTAATTTGTCTCTCAATATGTGACAGAAATCCATGAAGCTTGGATAGGTTAAAAAAAACAAAAAGTACTTCGTCCATTTTTTATATAATATATTTTAGATCCAGTAATTCAACATGGACTGAAATATACCGCATAAATTTTGGTTAAAGAAACAATACCTATTCCAAATACAGGCTACATTCTAGAATATCACTTAAAAATATTTCTGATATTTAGAATTCGCCTGTTTAAACTTATTTGTTTAAAAAAAATAAAAAGCAAGGTTTGATAAAATGAGGGTTACTGAGATTTTTTCTACCATGTATGAAATGCATGAAAATAAACTGTCATGGAAAAGGCAATTTCTAAAATGTCTTTTTTATTCTGTTAGTGCTCACTATTTGTTTCAGGCAGTTCTACAAAAAATGATCAGTCCCCCTGGTCTGCAAACCACAGAGCTTCTAATTTTCATATACTTTGGTCCTAAGTTTCACTCATAGAAACCGGAGTTCATTAAGGAGCTTTTCAATATGAACTTTACATATATAGAGTATGCACCATATGTACCATCAGTACCAAAAAAAAAAAAACCAGATACCCCTCGTGAGATGAAGTGGCTAAGTCTCCAGGTGAATGGGACCTGGTTAGATACAGACCCCAGAGTTTCTTTGCAATAAGCAGCGCTAAAAAGCAGCACTCTTTTTACCTGTTAGAACCATTTCCCAAGTAAAACAGGGCTGCTTTTAATAGACAAGAGAACATGAATCTCAAAGAACAAAATCTAAAGTTTCCTGTGTTTGTTTCCTGGTCATGCCATCTGTGGAAATAAAATCTTAGTAGGATATGAGCCTTCATTTTACTGATAGCATGTTGTTACCACTTATCTACCTTAAAATAACATTCCCTATGATCACCTTAGCACAATTAAGGACTTATTTATCAGTAACCTTTTGCATTTTAGAAAAGGTCACTATATAGTAATGTCAGGTAATTTTAAAATGACTTCAGGCATAACAGTTTAAGAAGGACAAATAAAAATCTTGAGAGAGGAATACAGAAAAATATGACTTTCCATTTGGTTATTTGGAGATGAGACCTAACAAGAGTAAACAAAAAATGTATATTGCTACATTTTCACCGTGTTTTACTAAAGATGCAAGCAATCATAAAAGGCCTATAGTGTAAGTGCAAAACAATGCAAGTTATTGCAAAACATATAAAAATGATTTGTAACACTTGTGAGAAAAAAGTGCCTATAAGACATGTCAAGATACCCACCAAAGATGTCAAACCTTCATTGTCAACAACCCAGTCTTCCTTTTCAGCTAACC